GGCGGCAGCCGCACGCCCGCCGCGGGGGCCCCCGGGTCCGCTTCGAGGACGGCGCGGTCTTCCTGGCCGCCTGCTCGAGCGGAGACACCGACGAGGTGAAGAGGCTCCTGGCCAGGGGAGCCGACATCAACACGGCCAACGTGGACGGCTTGACGGCCCTGCACCAGGTAACCCCTCGCGGTCCCTGCGCGCGAGCCGCGAGCCGCCCGGGCGCAGTGGTGTCCCCACCGAGTCCCGCCGCAGCACGCCTCCCGGCCAGCCGCCTGCACGAACCAAGCCTGCGCCCGAATCAGGGTCTCCACCTGGAGGAGTCGCGTCCCCGCCGCCTGATGGTGTTTGGATTTCCCTCCACCTCCTTGGGTTGTCATGGTTACTGGGGGTTTGGTCCCTGGACGTACCCCCGTAGGTTGGCCATGTGCGCTATGTCTGGGCGGAGTGCCGGTGCACCGAGGCCCTCCGTGCACGGCCAGTGCCGGCTGTCACATGCCCTTTCAGAAAACTTGGCTTTCTGCTTGGGCGGCCCTGAGACAGAATCTCTTGGATGATGACCCGAAGAGCGAGGCCCGCGCTGGGTCAGGAGGCCGCTCTTGCTTTGCCGGTTTGTAGTGATTGAAGCACCGCTTGTTTCCTGCAGGCTCCAGCTCCCAGATCGCCTCGACTTGGCGATGGGGTCTTGCTTTCTCCTTAGCAGTTCGTTACCTCCCTAAGGGCCTCCTGTGGAGAAGCGACCTACTGAGTCACTTGTGTTTGTGTGACACTTTTTGAATGGCCTTTCTATTTTCGTTTTTCTCTAAAGCCCTCTATAGCAGTCATGTGCGCTATGTGTCACTACAGTATACGGGACTGTGGGTGACTTGCCAACACCACCTGTACTTCTCATCTGGTGCAATGGCATTTTGCATGTAGACGGTCATGACTGACTCCACCCTCCAGCCAAATGGAACTTCACAGTTATTTTGGGGAGCTGAGAGCTGGACACCCACTCTTAATCTTCCTTATTCTTCTTCTGCCGTCAGTGCAAAGTGAATGTGTTGGCATGAGATCCCACTTCTAAGTGATAGCTCAATGTTGTGTTCTAGCCATTCCCCGAATGTATTAACCAGTAGCTTTCTCCTCACCAAGGTTGCGACCCTTCTCTCTCAGATGGAATAACTTTTTCTTTCCGCCCTTTTCTTCTCCATTGTTTTTCTGGTCATAACGGTGCCCCTGAGGTGGCAGCCAACACTTGTGTAGTTTCTTGCTGTTTGAACTTATTTCCTATGCGCACCTCGTGTGAGGTTCAGCCGCGATCCTCTGCAGCAGGTGTGGCAGGTAGTGTGGTTTCCATTTTACAGATGAGGGGTCTGAGACTCAGAAAACTCCCTGGGCAAAATTAGAAAGGAGAGAGGGCGAAGCATGGACTTTTCAGATTCAAATCCCAGAGCTTTGTATCCCACCCAGTAAGAAGCCGAATATAAATAAGACAGGTGCTAATTGGCCTACGTTTATTATTTTAAATTTCCGAACTCTTTGAGAAGGTGAACATTTATTTTCCGGGCTATTTGGGATGTTAAGGAGATTGAGAGCTGGATTCTGGAGGGAACCGTCCCGTGGGTTCATGGAGGACAGAGAAGTCGGACTTCCAGCTGTCTAGTCCACGTGTTCCTGTACTGAGTCACTGTTCTGTGGAAGCAGTTTTCTTCGTGTGACTAGGTAGCCCCGTTAGGGAGACTGCTGGCTGAGTCTGGTCCTTACCACACATAGTTTAATACACCCAAGAAAAGCACCTTCTTTGAGGTCACTCTTGGTAGATCTTTGCACACAGGCCACGTTTTTCTGATCACCTCTCCTGTGACTGATCTCTTTGATGCCTTCCTCTTTTAACCCCCATCCCAGATTGTGAACTATGGTGGTCAATATGCTCATCACACTCAGGACCCTTGAAGCAGCAGGGGAAGGTGGCGACAGCTATGGAGTTGTTTTAAAACACTTGCCAATGCAATACAGTCAGCCCTCTGTCTCCGTGGCATCCAAGGGCTGACTAAGGGGCGTGAGCATCTTTGGGGCGCCTAGGACCACTCCCCCACAGATGCCAAGGGGCGA